TGCATCCCAAAGAAATTTTCCATTTTTAAATTTTCATTTTTAAAATAAAAAAAAATTTTTTTTTTCTGTAGGCTCCACAGCCGGTATGGGGCTTGAACTCACAACTGACCCTGAGATTGAATCGCATGCTCTACCCACTGGAACAGCCATGTGCCCCCAAATTTTTAATTTTTAAATTTGTATAGACTAGGTTTATACTTTATCATTCTTTCTGTAAACACCTATATAGTATGTGCAAATTTATTGATTGATAATTAAGTGGGTGTATTTTAACTCAATAAATTCAAAGCAATTCACAGATATTGTAGGTGGCAAATGTGGTTCTCTCCTAATTTATAGATGTAAAAAGATTGACAAGATCACCTTAGATCTTTAATTGTTATCTTTTCAGTGAGACCTTTTTTTATTTTTATTTTTATTTTTATTTTTTTTTTTTAAAGATTTTATTTATTTATTTGACAGAGAAAGATCACAAGTAGATGGAGAGGCAGGCAGAGAGAGAGAGAGAGGGAAGCAGGCTCTCCGCCGAGCAGAGAGCCCGATGCGGGACTCGATCCCAGGGACCTGAGATCATGACCTGAGCCGAAGGCAGCGGCTTAACCCACTGAGCCACCCAGGCGCCCAAGTGAGACCTTTTTTTTAAAAAAGATTTTATTTATTTATTTGAGAGAGCACAAACAGGAGCAGGGGGAAGGGTAGTGGGGGGGTTGAGAAGCAGACTCCCCGCTTAGCAGGGAGCCCAACTCTGGGCTTGATCCCAGGACCTTGAGATCATGGCCTGAGCCAAAGGCAGACACTTGACTGACTGAGCCACCCAGGTGCTCCTCAGGGGCACCTGGGTGGCTCAGTCGGTGATGCCTCTGCCTTCGGCTCAAGTCATGATCCCATGTCCTGGGACCAAGTCCCACATCAGGCTCCTTGCTCAGCAGGGACCCTGCTTCTCCTTCTCCTGCTCCCCATGGTTGTGCTCTCTCTCACATTCTCTGTCAAATAAATAAATAAATAATACAATCTTTAAGGAAAAAAAAACAACTCTCGAAAAAAAAGACCTCCCTGAAAGGTTGGTATTTTTTTATTTTTCATTTAGTTGTTGTTTTTTTCTTTTTATAGATGCTACTGCCATCTAGTAATCATAGCAATACTTCACATATTTATTTTGTTTATTTTCTCTTCTGGCAGCAGAATGTAAGCTCCACGAGGGAGGGAGATTTCTGTGTTCTTCTTTCAGTGCTATAGACTCAATATGTAGAATAATGCTACATTAATAGGTATTGGATAATTATTTGTTGAACAAATGAATGCAAAGATCTAGTAGGCAGATTGGGTCTCGTGTCTCCCATCTAGTGTTAATTATAATTAATTATGTACTAAATTGTTACTTATTTTATTTGATTATCATATTGATCAAGGAGGATTGGTATTGATATTATTACCATTTTCCAGATGGTGTAATTAAGTAACTTGTTCAAGGTTATGGAGAAATTAGTAGCAAAAATTGGCTTCAACATTAAGTGAAAGCAGCCAGTTACAAAAGGCCGCATAGTGTACGATTTCATTTACATGATCTGTCCAGAACGGGCAAGTCTATAGAGACAGAAAAGAGATTAGTGGCTGCTCAGGGCTTTGCAGGGAAGGATGGGGGAAATGTGGAGTGACTACTAATGACTATGGAGTTTCTTTTAGGGGTGACAAAAAATTTTAAAATTAGATCGTGGTGGTGGTTGCACAACCATGTGAACGTACTAAAAAACCATTGAATTTTGCGCTTTAAGGGGGGTGAATGGTACGGTATGTGAATTAAATCTCAATAAAGCTGTTAAAAATAATAAAAGAAATTGGTTTCAAATTCACATTTCTTTGGTTTCCAAGCTTCTAATCACCTTCCAGAAGGAGCTAAGACTGGACACATGCTGGTTTTGAGAACATGTCAAGGAAAGCACAAGGTTTTCTGTAACTTCTTGTGCCAGAACGTGAAGAGGTGCTCAAAAATCTACTGGGACATGTCCAAAGGTCACTACCAACTGGAAGGGTCTTTCGTGGTTAAATATGGAACAATTCAAGATCAAATATCAAAGTGACAGAAATTACTGTCAATATTGATACCAAAAACAAAGGCAAAAAACAAGCCAAAAACAGAGAACCAAGGAGTGGTGAGAAATGAAAGGTCTTCTTTATATAAGAATGCCACCTAATTCATACAGGTGGAACAGTTGGAATGACAGGATTATAGTGTCATTCTTGTACAACCATGATAGTAGTAATCGACCCAGGCAAGCATCATCAATAGATGATGAGCCACCCAGGTGCCCCTTCTTATTCATTCTTTTTATGGGCTGAAAAATATTCCATTATCGGGGTGCCTGGGTCATTGTAGGGGTGCTCAGGTCATGATCTCAGGGTCCTGGGATCGAGCCCCGAGTCGGGCTCTCTGCTCAGCAGGGAGCCTGCTTCCCCTGCTCTCTCTACTTGTGATCTCTCTCTCTGTCAAAAAAAAAGGGGGGTAAGCAACACCCATTTAAAAAAATATGTTCCATTGTATGTGTAAACCATAGTTTGTTTATCCATTCATGTGCTGATGGATATTTGGGTTGTTTCTGACCTTTTGGCTACTGTGATTAGCACTGCTGTGTACATTTGTGTACAAGGATTTGAGTACTTGTTTGCAGTTATTTTGGATATATACCTAGGGGTGGAATTGCTGATAATTCTATGTTTAGCTTTTTGAGGAACCGTGGGACTGTTTTCCACAGTGATTGCACCATTTTACATTTCCACCAGCAATGTACAAGGATTCCAATATCTCTATATCCCTGCCAACACTTAGTTTCCATTTATTTATTTATTTTTAAAGATTTATTTATTTGAGAGAGAGAGAGAGAGAGCGCGTGAGTCGGGGGAGAGGCAGAGAATCTCAAGTGGCTCCCCACTCAGTGCGGAGCCCGTGGGGCTCCACGTGGGGCTTGATGTGGGCTTGACATGGGGGTTGATCTCAGGACCCATGAATTCATGACCTGAACTGAAACAGGAGTCTGAAGCTTAACCGACTGAGCCACCCAGGTGCCCCTTATTTTCCATTTTAAAAAAGGAATATAGCCAACCTAGTAGGTGTGAAAGGGTATCTTAGTGTGTGTGTGTGTGTGTGTGTGTGTGTGTGTGTGTGTGTAAGATTTTATTTATTTATTTGAGAGATAGAGCAAGAGAGCACAGAGGTAGAGTAAGAGGGAGAAGCAGACTCCCTGCTGAGCAGAGAACCTGATGCTGGGCTTGACCCTGGACTCTGAAATCATAAAATGAGCCCGAGACAGATGCTTAACTGACTGAGCCACCCAGGGGCCCCTCCTTGTGGTTTTGCTTTGCATTTCTCTAATGATGTTGAGCATCTTTTCATGTGCTTTTCGACCATTTGCGTATCTTTGGAGAAAGGTATATTCAAGTCCTTTACCCATTCTTTACATAGACTACTTTTTTAAATAGAAAAGAAACAAAGCTAGCTTTACCATAGAAAAATGATTAAATGTAACATCACAAATAATGGAACAAAATGCCATCATTTCCCTTCTGTTGCAACATACTGAGATGGACACAATATCATCCATACAGTGTACCTGACAAAATTATTTAACTTGAATTTAACAGGGAACAGACAAGTACAAAGTGAGGGGTATCCTGCACAACAGTAGAACTGGGTTCTTCAAATGAAGTCAATGTTATAAATGAAAACAACAACAGCTAGGGATTATTCTAGACTAAAGGAGTGTGAAAAGACAAGGCATTTAAATGTAATGCATGATTCTTGATTGTATCCTGGATTGGGAAAAGTCAGCAAAAAGGGACATTTTGAAAATTTGAATATGGCCTCTGTACAGATAATATTACAAATAATATTATATTATATTAAATTTTCTTGGAATGATAATGGAATTCTGATTATGCAGAATATCTTTGTTCTTAGATACTCATCGAAATGTTGAGGGTAAAGGCTAACAATGCAAAAACTTCAGTGATTCAGCAAAAACAACAAAGAAAGTTCCATACGCACACATACACACAAGGAAAGCCAATGTGATGAAATGTTAAAAACCGGTGAATATGGGTTAATATGGGCGTTGCTTATATTTTTCTCATAACGTTTCTGTAAGGTTAATATTTTTGAAAATACAAAGTTGAGAAAGTACTCAAGTAGAGAGAACAAACTGATGGTTACCAGAGGGGAAGTGGGTGGGGGTGGCCGAAGTAGGTGATGGGGAGTAAGGAGTGCACTCCAAGGAGGTGATTAAAATAAGAACTTTAAAAAAATGTTGCGAAAGTGAAAGGGTCATCAAATCTAAGCAGTGCTTTCGGTTCTTTGGGTTTAGCATCTTCAGAATAAGACGAGTTACTTTGATGAGTTAAGAAAATAGTTGTACAACCAAAGAGAGTAAATGGTCCGGGTGGCTCTCTTTCCAAAACATTATAATTATTTAAACAAACAAAGGAACACTGCAGTTGTCATTTTGTCCCACTACCAGCGTGATTCCCGTCTTTATTAGGTAGCATGGTAGGTGGAAAGGATTCGGAGATAGCTAGGCCTAAGTTTGAATTATCGCTGGGTAAACTGTTCAACTTCTTTAGGACTCAGTTTCCTCATTGTAGGATGTAGACAATAACTTCTTGGTGGGATTGTTGTGTTAACGGTCATGCACTTGTTTACTGAGCTGGGCTTTAATTCAGGTGCCAAAACTTCATCGTACTTTCCATACCATTTGCGTCTTTTCCCTTAATTGAACGAACAGTCCTGTGGGGTGGGCAAAGGGGAGAGATGAGAGGACTTCTCCAAGGTCACACAGCTAGTGAAGGACCCAGGTTTCCCCGCTCTTGGTCCTGTGCCCTTTCCACACCCGCCGGAGAGAAGGAAGCGGCGCTCATGGGGATGCAAGGATGTAGAGGAGCAAAGGGGGAGAAGAGGCCGCGCGAAGAGAGGTGGTGTGAGACCCGCAGAGGCGCCGGCCAAGGAAGGGCGCATGGAGAGGCGGGTGGCGCGGTCGGCCGGGGTGCGTAGGGGAGAGGCTGTGGAGAGGGATGGTCGCGCGGGCCGGGTGCCCAGGAGGAGCGGGAGGCCTGGGCCGTCCGCGGGGGCGCAAGAGGCGGAGGCCCCGGCCGCAGGCAGGGGCGGGGAACGCCGTGGGCGGGAGTGGCGGTGGTGGCGGGGAGTGACTTCTGCACAGGTGGGGCAGGTGGGTGGGTGCGGGGCGCGCGGGAGGGCTCGGCGCAGGGGGTCCGGACCCCAGCGGGCGGGTGGGGGTGGGGCGGGGCGGGGGCGGGGCCGGCCGGGGGCGGGTCTCGCTGGGCCCCCCGCGGGAGCGGCGGCTGCTGCGGCGGCGGCGCAGGCGCGGTTCCCGCCTCCTCCCGGCTGGCGGAGCGAGTGGAGGCTGCAGCCCGGCTCGGCTCGGCTCGGCTCCCGCGTCGCCACTGCCGCCGCCGCGAAGCCCCCCGCCCCGCTTCCGCCGCGTCGGGATGAGCTCCCGGAAAGGTGAGTGGCCCGCGGCGTCCCCTCTTCCCCGCCACGCGGCCCCGCAGGCCGGCCGGCCCGACCGTTAATGTGTGTCTTCTCTTTCCCTAGTGCTGGCCATTCAGGCCCGAAAGCGGAGGCCGAAAAGAGAGAAACATCCGAAAAAGTGAGTCCACGCCGCGCTAGCCCCGGGGCCTGTGCCCCCGCCTGGTCGAGGGCTGCCCGCGACCACTCAGGGGAAAGTTGCCCGGATCCCCAGGGCCGCCGGCTGGTCCCCCGGGACGCCGGCGCTCGCCTCCTGCGCGCCCCGGCGGGCGGCCCGGGGGGAGGGGCGGGCGGGGGAGGGGCGCGCGCGAGCCCGCGGCCGCCCGCAGAGCATCCCCGGACCCCCGGGCCCCGGCGGCCGCTGCGGCCGTGGGGCGGGGGACGGGCGGCGGGGCGCGGGGGCGCCGGGTGTGCGCACCCTTCCCCCTGCGCGCCGCGCTGGCCCAGGGGTCGCGGGTCCTTCCCGGGAGGGGCGCTGGCGTCTGCCTCCTGGGCCCCGCCGCGTGCGGGCGTGAGGCTGCTGCGTGGCTCGCACCTGGGCACAGGGGCCCAAAAGGAAGAAGAGCCGAGTGTGCCAGAAAGTGAGCGAGTGTGTGTGTGTGTGTGTGTGTGGCCTTCTCTTCCTCCCCGGCCCCCGCCTCTCGGCCTTTGCGGCTGAAAACCCGAGCTGGTTGTCAAGTGCTTTGCCTCGGGCGTGTTCCTGGCGCGAGTTCAGCGCCGAGACCTGTGCGTTTCGGGGCTCGGGGTTTTATTCGAAACTTTCTGCTCGGGCCGAGCGTCACTTCGCTGCGCGGCGGGTGCGCCCGGGTCGCGGGCTGCGCGGGACCGGTGGGCGTGTGCGCGGGCGGTCCCCGGCGCGGCTCCCCGGCCCTCATTGTGCCGGGCAGTTGATGAATAGGGTGGTGATATTTAAAACGTGCCAGCCGCCGGCCACCTCCAGCCTGGCCTCGGCCCGGGGAGGGAGCGGCCGGCGCCCGAGAAGCCTTTCCTGGAGAGCTGCTCCGACCGCAGAGCGCTGCCGCGTCGCTCCTTCTCTCAATTTTAAAAAGCCAGCCGGCGTTCAGCGTCTTTACTCCTAGATTTGTGGCTTCACTCTTCCTTTTGAGCAAGAGATACTCGGTAGTATTTGTGGTCTTCCAGGGGATGGTAGTCCATGATTTTCTTTAGAATCGCGAACATTTCTGGTTCTGTTTCCTTTGGGGTACTACCCTGCAGCATTCCTAGGCTTTCCCCTTCCTGTCCACCTTGGTCTCTGCCTGGTGAATTTCAGGCTCTCTATGAAAACTGACCGAAGGGTTACTTCTGACAGGATTTTTGTTCACTCAAGATGGACTATAACTTGAAAGTATTTTCAGGGTCTCAAAATGTGGATCTCCATATAATGCCTTAAAAAATTATTACAATGATAGAAAAAATGCTTATTAAGGACTTATTAACTGGTGGGTAAAAATCTGATATTGGGTTCTTAAGACGTTAAAACAGAATGGATGTGGTACTTTGAGATGCTTTACAAAATTAATGCTGGCTTTCAAGTCAGGGCCTTAAATTTGGGATTTGCTTTGAATGTTGGGAGATTAAGCCCATGAGTAAGGAGAACTGTAACGTTTAAGATCCTCAGTATTGGGTTTTAAAAAACAATTTAAATTCGAAGCATTTATTTTCACATAGTGCATTATGTTTAGAAATGTAAAAAGGAATTGAAAAAAGCATGTCCCCAATTTTGGGAATGGCTCTGTGTGTGTGTGTGTGTACGCACATATGTATGTATAATATGTTTGTGTGTATGTTATAGGTAGACATACATGTTGAAAAACCCTTTTAGTTAACTAAGTCAACATGTGTTTCATATTTTCATATTTCAGGGTATGATTTTCCTATTTTAGTATATGTGCTGCCGAAGCGAGCACAGGGTATGATTTTCCTAATGGCCAAGAGCCTTTTTTGATGTGCTGCAGTTTGGATTTATGTGGTATGTTTATAAAGAATTAGTGTATATCCACAATATCCAGTTTTCACTCTAAGAGATTAACGTTCCAGATTTTTCCATTGTCTTCTGTATTTATGTGATAAGGTTTGAGGGAAAAGCCCCCAGGCAATGGCTGAGTAAATTAGTTGGACTGCAGGGTAATTAACAAGAGGAGACCAGCCCAATTACATAACTGATAAATGCAATGCCATTTTTTGCTTAATTCTTTGAATTAAGACATTCTAAAGGAACGCTCGATATGATTTATCCATGTGTTCAACAAGTATTTGCACGCCTTTCCTTGGAGATGGTGATAGAGCTTTGAACAAGACAAAGCTCCTCATGAATGTTACATTCTGTGGGTATTGGGGGCATTGCGTTCCCTGTGTACCCTTTATCCAGATTTCCCCTTCTTGTCAAAGATGATGACAGATCAGGATGGCATATTCAGATGGTGCTATGCTATGAGCTAGGGACAACATTAAGATGGGATACTTTAAGTAACAGTGGTAGGTGACATTTGAACCCAGTGCCAGGCACCATGCTGATAGCTTTACTGCCTCTTACCCTGTGACAGCACTACGGTAGACACTGTTTTTGATCACCATTTTACAGATGGGCAAGCAACATGCTTGGCTGCAGAGTTGAATATAGGCAGCCTGGGACTCGAGTCCACACTCAGCTCTCTCAAGAGGTGACATTTGACCAGAAACGAGAATGAGGAGGAGGAGATGGGAGTGTGGCAGAGGCCTTGGGGAGGAATGGGTAGCAATGTTGGAGGACCCCAAAGGTCAGGGTCACTGGAGTGTTTTGAGAGATGATGGTGACAGGGGAGGTCGAGAGTGGGTAGGGCCCTGCCCTGTAGGGCGTCCAGGGGCTTACCGATGGGACTGACAGGATCAGTTCCTGTTTTAAAAGAGCTCGGGTTGTCTGTGGAGAGTGGTTTGTCAGGGGTAGAGAAGAAGTAGAGGCTGGGAGCTGGCCTTCTGTCTGAGGGAAACCATGGTGACTTGGTTCAGGTTGCAAGCAGTGGTGTCAGAAGTGGTGGAAGGGGCTTCAGAGACGGCTGGTCTGAGGAGAAGTCCTGATTTTTATTGTCAGCCCTGAGGAAGGTGATAGTCACACAATTAGCTGTGTTTGGACCAGAATTCAGGTCTCCTGATGCCCAGTGTTTTTGTTTTTTGATTAATTCTCCAGAGGAGGAAAAGGAGTAATAGGTCTAATTTGAAACCATATAAATATAATGACTGGCAAACCTAAATTATGTGACAACATGGGCCTGGGTTGATGTAATATGATATGCTTTTGTCATTATCTACTTGTATACGCAAGCTGGCTCTTCATTCATTTTCATTCAGTGAGCTTTTATGAATTGAGCCAGTTCCTGGAGGCTACTTTTTTAGTATGCTGGAATTTGTAATTGTCAGGAATAGCATTAAGATTTCTCTATTTAGCTGAGTCAAAATTTTAATCTTGTCAGATTGTTCCAGTGTGTTTAGTTTGCTAATTATTAATTGAGCTGCTTTGTGAGCAACAGGCGGCAGGGAAGGACTGCAGTGTCAATTCAATCTTGAATCTTAAGAATTAGCTAAATCATATGGCTTGGGAGACTGTTGCTTTGGGGCATGAGTGAATGAATGTATGTATAAAAATTTTTTTAAAAGATTTTATTTATTTGACACAGAGAGAGACACAGCCAGAGAGGGAACACAAGCAAGGTGAGTGGGAGAGGGAGAAGCGGGCTTTCTGCCGAGCAGAGAGCCGCCAGATGTGTGGCTCCATCCCAGGACCTTGGGATCATGACCCGAGCTGAAGGCAGACGCTTAACGACTGATCCACCCAGGCACCCCATGTATAAAATTTTTTAAGCATCTTTTTTTTTTTTTCAACGCATGTAACTTTTTCATTAAGATGTAATTCATGTACTGTAAGATTTATCTTTTCAAGTGTATAATTTGCTGGTTTTTAGTATATTCACAACGTTGTGGAACCATCACAATGATTAATTCTACAACATTTGCATCCTCCCCTCCCCCAAGAATAAAGCCCATACTTTTTAGCAGCCATGCATCATTTTTCCCTGCTCCCAATTTGTTTTCTGTCTCTATGAATGTACCTATTCTGGGTATTTCATATAAATTCTGTCATCTTGTGTGTGGTTTCTTTTACTTAGCATAACACTTTCAAGGTTCATCCATGTTGAGACATGTATTAGTACTTCATCCTTTTTTTTTTTTCTTAAAGATTTTATTTATTCATGACAGAGAAAGAGAGCTAGAGAGGGAACACAAGCCTGGGGGACCTGGAGAGGGAGAAGTAGGCTTTTTGCTGAGCAGGGAGCCCGATACGGGGGCTTGATCCCAGGATGCTGGGCTCATGACCTGAGCCACCCAGGCACCCAGTACTTCATACCTCTGTAGTGCCAAATAATGTTGCATTGTATTGATATGCCGTGTTTTATTTATCCATTCATCCATTGATGGACATTCAAGTTCTTTCCACTTTTTGACTATAAATTATTATAGTACAATTATTTTTAAAAATATTTATTTATTTTAGAGAGAGAGTGGTTGTGAGCAGGGAGAGAGGGAGAGAATCTCAGGCAGAACCCGTGCTGAGCATGAAGCCCCTTGTGGGGCTTGATTTTGACTCTGAGATCACAACCTGATCCAAAACCAGGAGTTGGACCCCCAACCCACTGTGTGCCCCAGGTGCCCCCAACTCCTTTTTTTTTTTTTTTTTTTAATTTAAATATTTCATTTTGAAATCGGGGACTCTTAAGAGGTTGCAAAAATGATACTGAGTTCCCTGTGTACCCTTTATCCAGCTTTCCCCGAGTGGTGATATCTCACATAACCATAGAACATTCCCAAAACCAGGGAATTGACATTGCCACCATGATGCTATTAACTGAAATAAAGTTTCACTGGTTTTTATTCGTACTTTCTGTGTGTTGTTCTCTCAGATGGATCACTTGTTTAGATGAATGTGGTCATCACCAGGGTTAGGATGCCAAACTGCTTCACCACCACAGAGAAAGTTCCTCTTACTACCCCTTTAGCGTCTGACCCTGCCCTCAGCCCTCACCCTGGACAGCCGAGCACTGGTCTGTTCTCCAGCACTGATCTCGCCACTTTGAGACTGTTACATAAGCG